TGCTGCTGCTGCAGCAGAGAAGAAGTCAAGCTGCCGGGCTCGTCAAGCGACGCGGCAGCTGTGGGCAAGTACACACTCGATCTCTTGCTGCTGCTGCTGCTGCTGCTGTGGCTGACGCTTCAGTTGCCGAAGCCAGCCGCACACGGCGGGCGATCACAGCCGTTTTCGTTGTTGCTGCTGCTGCTGCTGCTGCTGGACCCCCAGCTGTTGTTGCTGCTGCTCGCGGTGGCTGTGTCTGTGGCTGAAGCTGACAAGAAGTGGGGGTTTCTGAAAGGTAAGGAAGTAAGAAGAGCGAGAGCCCCGCGAGGTCGATGCTGCTGCTGCTGCTGCTGCTGCTGCTGCAGCTGATCCGCAGCTGGGCGGTTCGCGTGAGGCGGGCTGAGACACCCGGAAGCAAAACTGGCGAAAATAAATAACCATTGAGTCTTATTGAAGAAATATTTATTGCTGCTGCTGCAGCCAGCTCAAATTCTGACGACAACCACCAGCGGCAGCAGCAGCAGCAGCAGCTGCTCCGCTGCTGTTGCCTTGGGCCCAAAGCGACCAGCGCCATCTGTCCGGAGTCTACAGCAGGCTGCAGCAGCAGCAGCAGCAGCAACAGAAGCAAATACCGTTTTATTTTGTTTTATTTGAAGCAGAAAAACCTTCTAGAAGGCGCAGCAAACTGCTGCGGCTTGCAGGGTGTGTTGCCTTGCTGTGTCTGTTGCTGCGCTGCTCCATCGGCCCAGAGCAGCAGCAGCAGCAGCAGCCGCATCCCGCAGCAGCAACAGCTGCCGCAGCAGCAGACGCAGCAGCAGCAGCAGTAGCAGCCCGAGAAGCCTTGCCGAGGGCCCCCCGGCCCACGCCCAGGAGCCCCCCACAGGGGTTGCCTTTGTGCTGCAGCAGCAACAACAGCAGCAGCCGCAGCAACAGCAGCAGCAGCAAGAGCAACAGCAACAGCAGCATAAACGCCAGCAGAAGCAGCACCACCAACGCGGATGGCCCAGTCTTGGCCTCTGCAACAGCAGCAACAGCAGCAGCAGCAGCAGCAGCAGCAGAAGCAGCAGCAGACTGCAGCACCTGCTGCAGCGCTTCCCCCCAGGCACTTTAGCAGCAATGGCAGCTCCAGCATCAAGGGGGGGCCCCCTAACCCCTGAGGCCTCTGGGGGTCCCCCTTTGGCTGTGGGGCCCAAGGGGGGCCCCCCGGGGGCTCCTGGGGGGCCCCCACTGGAGCCGCTGCCGGTCTTCTCTTCAGGGAATGCGCAGCTTGAGCAGCGCTTGCTGCAGACGTTTGCTGCACTCAGGCTGCCTAGGGAGTCTTCTGCAGCAGCAGCAGCAGCAGCTGCTGCTGCTGCTGCTGCGGACTCGGCTGCAGTTGCTGCTGGCTCCGCTCTAGATGAGCAGCAGCAGCAGAAGCAGAGAGCCCACAGAGCATCGGAGCCGCAAGCTGCTGCGGCCCCCACAGGTGCAGCAGCAGCAGACCATGCAGCAGCAGCAGCAGCAGCAGCAGGAGGCGCAGGAGAGTCTGCTTCGGCGAATTCTAGGGGCAGGGGCGGGGCGCCTGAGCAGCAGCAGAGCCGCGGCTCCTTGCCCGCATCAGCAGCAGCAGCAGCAGCAGCAGCAGAGCCGCGGGCGGCCCCCGGCGCTGCTGCAGCACGGCGAGGGTCTCCTGGCAGCTGGAGCGAAGCCACGGCGACCACGGGGTGTACAGACACCGCGGGGTGTACAGACACCTGGGAAGTCCCGAGGCCCCCCCCCTTCGGGACTTGGAGACTTTATTCTCTTGCAGATGTTCCTGAGGAGACAATGACAGCAGCAGGCATGCAGCGGGCGCTGCAGCAGCTGCAGCAGCAGCAGCAGCAGCGGCGGCAGCTGCAGCAGCAGCAGCAGGAGCTGCAGCAGCAGCAAAGCGGGTCGTCGGCCGCAGCGCCCGACGCCTCGCCCAGCACACTGGGCAGCAGCAGCGCAGCAGCACCAGCGACAGACGCTGCTGCTGCTGCTGCTGCTGCTGCTGCTGGAGAGGGAGAGCAGCAGGACCCCCGCGTCCGTGTGGGGCCCCGCCGGCGGCCTTGAGGGGCCGCAGTAGCAGCAGCGGGGCCCTGTCTCCTTTGTTAAACAACTCTTTTGTTGACTTTTTCAAAGTTTTGTGGCTTCTTATTTGCTGCCAGGGGCCCCTTTTGCTGCAGCGCTTTGCTGCTGCAGTGCCTTGCTGCTGCAGTGCCTTGCTGCTGCAGTGCCATTTTGCTGCATTGAGGCGCGGGGTGTATGTACACACGGATTCTGGTGCAGTTTGTATGGACATATGCCCGAGTAAAATATAGATGTAAATGTAAATATAAACATAAATAAGTATAAATATAAATATAAATATAAATATAAATATAAATATAAATAAATAAAATTAAATATAAATATAAAAAGAATTAAATATACGAACACATAAAAATACGAAGAGCTGTTTATACACCAGAAATGGATAGGCCCCACAGCCCAGCCTCAAGGGGCCCTTCGGGGGGCCCCCTTTACAGGGGCCCCCTTAACATCCCTAGGGGCCCCTGTGGGGCCCCTCGGGGGCCCCTGTGGGGCCCCTCGGGGGCCCCTCGGGGGCCCCTGTGGGGCCCCACATGGGCTGCGTACGGGGGGCCCCCTGGGCCCTGCGGGCCACAGTGAGCTGCACAGGGTGAGGCCACAGACGCCCTGCGCAGCAGCTAGCCACCAGCTAGCTGCCAGCTAGCCACCAGCTAGCTGCCAGCTAGCCACCAGCTAGCCGTCAGTTAGTTGCCCGCTAGTTACCATCTAGCTGCTAACTAGCTACCGGCTAGCTACCAGCTAGCTACGATGTAGTCGCTAGCTAGCTGTCAGCTATGTGCTAGCTAGCTGGGAGCTAGCCGCCAGCTAGCCACCAGCTAGCCACCAGCTAGCCACGGCGAACGGACACAGCGACAAAGAGGACAGAAAGCAAAGAGAGAGGGAGCAGAGGTATTCGAGTGTGTCCACACTGCAGCAAAACTCACCAGCTGCTTCTCCTGCTGCAGCCGCTGCAGCGCACTTTCAGGTGTACAGGGAGCTCAGGTGTATCTGCAGCTCCCCGTGGCTCTTCAGCACCTAAAGGGCTGCAGCGCCACTTCAGGTGTATAGGCAGCTTCAGGTGCTCGCTTCAGGTGTATGTACAGTTCTCTTCATATGTATAGGCAGCTTTAGGTGGATGTACAGCTCGCTTCAGGTGTACAGGCAGCTTCAGGTGTAGAGGCAGCTTCACATGTATGTACAGCTCGCTCCAGGTGTATAGGCAGCCTCAGGTGTATGTACAGCTCGCTTCAGTGCACAGGCAGCTCCAAGTGTCTATACACTCGTTTCAGCTGTATAGGCAGCTTCAGTTGTATGTACAGCTCGCCCCAAGTGTCCATAAAGCAACTTCAGGTGTAGAAGCAGCTTCGGGTGTCTGTACAGCAACTGCAGGTGTCTACACAGCTGCGTCCGGTGTATAGGCAGTTTCGGGTGTCTGTACAGCAGCCTCGGGTCTAAGTACAGCAGCTGCAGGTGTGTACAGGAGATTTATGTGCAAAGCAACTTCAGGTGTCTGTACAGCAGACAGCAGTCTATACAGCAGCTTCAGGTGTCTGCAGAGCAGCGTGAGGTGTCTATACAGTAGTTTCAGGCGTACAGGCAGCTCCAGGTATATATACAGCAGCTTCAGGTGTCTATACAGCAGTTTGAGGTGTACAGGCAGCTTCAGGTGTCTATACAGCAGTCTGAGGTGTACAGACAGTTTGGGCTGTCTGTACAGCAGCGTCAGGTGTCTATAAAGCAGTTTCGGGTGTACACGCAGTTTCAGGTGTACATGCAGCTTCAGGTGTCTATACAGCAGCTTCAGGTGTACAGACACTTGGGGTGTCTGTACAGCAGGCCAGGTGTCTATACAGCAGCTTCCGGTGTACATGCAGCTTCCGGTGTACATGCAGTTTGGGGTGTCTATACAGCAGCTTCCGGTGTACATGCAGCTTCAGGTGTACATGCAGCTCCAGATGTACCTGCAGCTTCGGGTGTACCTGCAGCTTCAGGTGTACATGCAGCTTCAGGTGTACCTGCAGCTCCAGGTGTACATGCAGCTTGGGGTGTCTGTACAGTCGGTGGTGCGTTGCAGCTTGGGGTGTACACGCAGCTTGGGGTGTACCTGCAGCTTCGGGTGTCTGTCCAGTCAGTGCTGCGTTGCTGCTGCTGCTGCTGCTGCTGCTGCTGCGTTGTGGCGAGACAGCCTCACAATATCTCCCTGGAGGATTTTTGGCAAAAGTGCAGAAGGATGGAGAGGAGCCAAAGTGCTGCGCGCAGCAGCAGCAATAGGGGGCCACAGAATGTCTGCGTAAGTAATTGGCCGCGCGCACAGCATGAAGTACACGTTGCTGCTGCTCCGCGCTGCTGCTGCTGCTGCTGCTGCTGCTGCGGGCTCGACAGCCTTCCCTGGCTTCGCAGCAGACACCGACCCGCGGCCGCTGCGGCCGCCGCGCGTCTTCTGCTTGTGCGGCTGCAGCTGCAGGCGCCTGCTGCCGCCGCCGCCGCTGCTGCTGCTGCTGCTGCTGCTGCTGCTGCTGCAGTTTGTCTCCGATTTCAAGGCCGTGAGGGGCTCGAAAGAGACCCCTGCTGTCAGCAAGTGGGGGGCCCTGGCGCGGAAAAGAAGGAGAGAAGTGGGGAAAGACAAAAAGAGAAAAAGAGACATTTTGAGAACGGAGTGGGTGCTGAAGATCAGCAGCCAAATCAACATGTAAGAAACATAAAACAGCAAAGTTGTTGGAAAAAGACAAACTGTTATTGTAAACAAAATGCACCCTATCAGCAGCTGGTCCATTTGCAGGTCTGCAGAGTCCACCCGCCGCCGCAGCACGTTCCACTTCTGCCCCCTGAGCAGCAGCAGCAGCAGCAGCAGCAGCGCAGCAGCAGCAGCAGCACAGGCGTCCGCTGGGTCCAGGTGCGCACGAGGGTTAGCAACAGTACCCTACGGGCCCCCTGAAGGCCCCTAGCAGCTCTTGGGGGCCCCCCTACTGGCCCCCTCCCAGGGGCCCCCCGGAGCCCTTCGGGGCCCTCTAGGGGCCCCTTACGCGCCCCCTAGGAACGCCCCTAGGGGCCCCGTAGGGGCCCCCTAGGAACCCCCCCCGAAACCGCCCTAGGGGCCCCCTCGAGGCCCCCCAGAGACCCAGGGGGCCCCTAGGGGCCCCCCACTCAGCGGGGGCCCCTGGGGGCCCTGGGGGCCCCTGGGGGCCCTGGGGGCCACTGGGGGCCCCCGGGGGCCCCCAAAGAGTGGGGCCGTGCGTACCTGAAGAGGAGGAAGAGAGAGTGGAGGCTTTTGAGGTTGACGTGGAGAAGACGGGCGCAGACAAGGTAAACGTAGAAAATGTGGAGAGTGACAATCAGCAGCAAATCTGCAGAAGCAGCAGCAAAAAGAGAAGCTGAGAGGCCCAGCCAGCCCAGGCGGAAGGTGGTCAACAAAGTGCCCACCAGCCCCTTCACGCGCGCGCCAATGGACCTCCACAGCGCGGCCACCCTGCTGCTGCTGCTGCTGCTGCTTCTGCTGCCGCGGCGGCGGGGGGGGGCGCAGCGGCAGGTGGGGGGCCCCGCCGGGGGGCCCCGCCGCGGGGAGGCGGGCGCAGCAGCAGCAGCAGCAGCCGCAGCAGCGGGCCGCGAGAGGGAGCTCAGGGCCTCGGAAACTGCAGAAGCAGCAACTTCCAGAGTCTGCAGCAGCCCGAAGCTGCTGGGGGCCCCCCCCGCCCCCCGCCCCGCCGCAGCGCCGCCACCAGCACCGGCGCCGCCGCGCGGCCGCGGCCGC